TCACACAAAATTGCACATATCAGTAAGAATGTGCATTTTAATTGCATTCTGGGGATTTGTGTGCTAGGATAGTGAGCTTTTGGTTTCACCCATCTCAACAAAGTTCATGCTTTGGTTTAATAGAATTTGCACAAGTGCAGTTCCTTGTCAAGATACAACCTGTTATCAATGAGAAATGACGACCGAAGAGGATGTACTCCGCAGGACTAGAGTGAGTTGGATGAGAAAGAGAAGTGCTACAAGAATTCTGCATGATAGAAAGATTCCTATAAGGTTAATGTTAGTGACTTAGAAATGGTCACGATGTGGATAAAACAAGGGAATGAAGAAAGCCCCTTTAGAGATAGGAAAATGGCCTAGCTGCTTTATTGAGAGATTTCGCCACCAGGAACGGAGAGCTCTACCTCCTTTACACCCGACTCTTTGGTCTTAAGAATAGATGGTTGTGGCATGTTTTCATAGACTGAAAAGAGGTCCATTTCGTATGAGTGATGCGATGTTGATAGAATTCAGAAGAGGAAGGTGTAAGACCAAAACTAACATGATGTATTGTAGTTGTTAAGGATCTAATTGCTTAAAATATTTTAGTAATAATAATTAATCGAAAGGAGTGAAAAAAAAAATTGTGTAGCCGACATAATAATTAATCGAAAGGAGTGAAAAAAAAAATTGTGTAGCCGACCCCAAGTTCCATGTAAACAAAGAGACAAGGTTAACCGATGGAGGAATTTATAAAATTGGTAGTCAATACTATTGTCTCATATTAGAGAAAGCAAAACCACTCATGTTACAAAAGAAATCCTAGTAAAAGCAAACTTACACAGATAAGCATAAATTTGAAATGTGGAGTAGTAAGGTCAGCAGGAGAAGGAGCCAGGGGAGGAGGACTAGGTGTAGATATTACCCTTTCCTTTAAGCACTTATAATTACAACGACTTGGACGAACAACTCGATACACTCCACTTTGTGTTAGAATGAAAACGTCTTTCCTGTTATCCTCACCGAATGAGAAAATGTATTCTAAAGCAGGAAGATTGCTATTAGGCACTGAGCTGCACTTGATAGGAGAATCTGGAGCACAGCTGAAAGGGATATCTGTTGTAGAAAAGTTTCCACTGTCTTGGGGAGTTTCTGATGCTGCCCATATATGATTGGCATATAAATCTCCATACAAGTAACTGCATATAATCATTCTAGGTTAGTTTGCCAGAAGTGTTGCAGATTAAAACCCCAAATCCAGCTTCAGTAGCAATAGTAAACAGTGAGCAATTAAGATACAAGCAAAGGACACAAAGATTTACAGAAAATATTAACTCGCTGTTGCGGGTTTTAACTAATGTATAAGAAGAGTACTATAGTGATTTCATGCCTCTCAAAGTGTCTCACAGAATGTGGTCCTACTATAAAATTTTAGATCGGCCTAATACAAATATATAATGCGAATATGCCCCTGAACAGACAATAGGTCGATCAGAATTTAAGAAGATAAGTGATCAATATGATTAAGCTCCACACTGTCCAACAAAACATATTCTAGATTTTATGAACTAATGAAGAAAGAATTGTGTATTACCTTCCGTATGTGCACATATCAGTCTTGGCACGGTAGAAATATCCTCCTGATATTGCTGCAGATCCTAGTTTATTTATCTCTGAATGACTATATCCCACTACGGGCAAAATTGAATCGATGGAATTAGCAGAAGTATTTCCCCCCGGAGTTTGCTGAGGTTTAAAAACAAGAGGACCTTCATAAACACGCCATCCATAGTTTCCCCCCTTTGATATGATGTCTACCTCTTCATATTGATCCTGCAGAATTTAAACCAAGCATTTATCCTATCAGTAAGCACATTTATTTAAAGAATTGAAAAAACTGGCTAGAAATCTCCAAAACCTGTCCAACATCAGCACAGAGAAAATAGGAAGGCCTTTCTGAATCAAAGCTACAACGCCACGGATTTCTTAAACCGAGGGCCCAAATTTCCAGCCGCAATTCTTTATCTTCGGAATAAGGATTATCCCGTGGGATAGAATAGTTTCCCCACAGTCCAAGTTTAACTATCTCCTCTTCACCTGAAAATCAGAACCGTGTAGAAACAAGAATAAATCGTGCATAAAAGAATTTAAGAGAAACATTCAACGGACATATTAAGTTTTATGCAATTGGGATTGTAAGTATAGAACTAAAATTGTACAGGAGAAGTATAGATTTTAGTATGAAGTATTGGATACTGGATAGCATAATGAACAAGATTAAAAAAAAATTTCTTTCTTAATACTATTTACTATGGTACATTCTACCTTAACAATGTATTAGTGTCAAAACTTACTTGGTATATTGTCCACATCGAACCTTATTATCTTTCCGAGCAATGACTTCTTATTTTGTGCAAAATTATAGGGATCTCCTTTGCTTCCACCATCTCCCATCATGATGTATAGATATCCATCTTCCGGCCCAAAAAGTATTTGGCCACCATGATTTGCTCCAAACGGAAGCCCCATTGTAAATATTCTTCTTACTTCAAATGGACTGGCCTTTTCAGCCTAGAAATCATATATTACTAAAATCAGGTGAACGCTAACAGCATGTTTTGCTAAACTTCATAGTTACTTAAAAATAACTTCTTTGAAGTATGTTACTGCATACTTTTGAAGGTAACTTTTGAGCTTAGAAAGAATTTCTAAGATTCATTTCTAAACACAAAAAGGAGAGAGAAGGTATACCATCGATGGATTTGAAGCAGTTCCATTAGAAGTAAATTCTGAAACAACGGTCTGATACTTGCAATGCGGTCCTGAATCGAGAGAACCTAACTGCGAGGGGTCGCATCCTACATCCGAATTACATGCACAAATTCCGCCACATCCTGGAGACTTCTCTTTGTCACAATTATATGATGCAAAAAAACGGCCATTTTTTGCAAAGTCTGGATGAAAAGCCATTCCCATCATCCCGAAACTAGTATCAAGATGAACGTGATCTGTTAAGTCTACAAATGGACTCGACTCATCAAGTCCCATTACCTCTCCTGAATCCTGATCAGGAATAGTGGCCAACCAAATTTTCCCGGCCTGGTTAGAAAAGAAAGCCCGGTTGGAACCATCTGGATGAGCCACCATATTAAGATAAGATCCATTGTCAATTTTCTCCAAACACAAGCCTTTTGGTGGAGGCAAAGTGTTGGTTTTGTTAAGAGAGACTGCTTCACCGTTAAAACAAAGGGAAATCTCATCCGTGACACCACCAAATGCGTTACAAAAATCAGATTTTGATTGCCAGAGGTCAGTGAGTTTGGATAAGCTGGCATTTTGTGGCACTTGAGCCTTACTTTGTAATGAAGGGGCAAAGGGAGAATTCAGGATCGGTACATTTTGACAAGAATTCCATGTTGTTGAACAAAAGTCGTTATCTGACAAAGATGAGACAGCTGTGCCAGCAGTCGAATTGCAAAGGATTGGAACAGTACGAGGATCCGATTTTACCTTAAGCAACTCTGCTGAGAATGGATCACAAGTCTGCAGAGATAAAGCTTTCATAAATAATCTCAAAAAGGTTAACTAAGTTTTTGATCAGAATATGAAAAAGGGTTTAATAAAACGAATCCCATTTTTACTGTTAAATTGTACACACTACAATGCCTTGGTACAAGAATATCAGGAGAATAGAAGAAGAAAAATTGTTTATGAAGAATAAGCAGAAACTCTGTTTTTGACCACATAATGATAAATATCTTCAAAATATATATTAATTTGAATGGATCCAATCTCGTGCTCGTAAAACCATTATCGTTGTGAAGCAAAGTAACTCAGCAATATTTGCCTAATTCTTAATCGGCTATATTAAAACTTCAATCTTTATTCAGCTTTGTCGAACAAAAATCTGTGGAACTATATTTACTTAGATTTCGAACAAAAGAATTAATATTAGGCAATTAGAACAAACAGTCCACTTTGTGTTGAACTTTTCATCAAATTCAGAATTAATTATGTACCTAAATATCCATTTTCCATAACAGACAGGCATGATTATCAACATTTTTGTGCAATATATTGAAGAACATAGCCTTTTTTTATTCATAAGCTTCAAAAAAGAAAAAAAGAAAAATGGATTACAAAGTGCTGATCTATAAATTAACAACTTACTGCACAGAGGATTGATTTCACAGCTGAGGCACAGGCAGTATCAGAAATGTTCATGGCCTGGAGCCTCTTCTGCAATGCCAGATCTTCTGATGGATTACAGCAGGATTTTCCATTATATGGACAGAATGCTAAACTGCTCTTTGGAGTTGTAGGTGCTCCTGTATATGTCACATAGAAAAAAAGCAAAGAAAATTTAATAAAATGTAACAATTACTCCCAAATCTTACATGGTTCTGCGAGTTTATAATCACTTTGAGCACCCTCCTTACGAACCACTTTTAAGGGTGAGTTTTACCAAGAACAAGACAGTGGTATCACAGTAGACATCCAGTCTCACAAGACACCTTGATGCGGATGGGGTGACTTAGAAAGCACTATTTCTAGTATGGTTCCATAGGAATTGAAATAATGAACCATGATTACTTTTGAATTTCGTATCGCTCGTGGAAAGTCTACTGTGTACATTGATCACCACATCAAGCACCCTACCCTTTCAAGCCGGTTTTAAAGACGAGGTCTATCCAAGTACTCATAGCTGGAAAACGAAATTAAAGAATCAAGAATTCACACACACTTACTCAAGTCAGTGCACAAGGGCAATGCACAAGAAGGATAAGAGAACAAGAGAAGTACACAAAATACTGTGAGAATTTTATTCATTTCCACTGTTTTCCCAGAAGGATAATATGACATAATTACAGGCAACAACTCTTCAATAAAAACCCCTTATCTTCACAGAAGAAAAAAGTGGGGTTCAATAAAATACACATATATCCTTCCAGAAGCCGCTGATATTTCATACCCTTTTCGTCAAGGAACCAGAAAGCAACTCACTGGGATTTGAATTTTCCATTAATCAATGCACTAAAACCTGAAAGCTAAATTTATATATAAATAAGAGATGACTTTTCAGTCAAGTTGAGCAATAATTCAAGGCTAAATTGACATTATGCACAAAATCTCAGTGGATGAAATTGGCTAGAATGGAAAAGATGTTTGTTTGGACAAATAAATGTGTAAGATAAGAAAAAGTGGGAGATTGTTGGTGATAACAAATAAATGACATTTATTGGACCGTCTTCTTCACTGTTTGTTTGGCTTTCTGGTACTGAACTTTTAGTAAAGTTTTATGTTGATCCTGGTGTTTATTTTGATCATTTAACTTTATGCGGCAAAATTTTGCCAAAAGTTAAATGAATTTCAGTGTTTTAAACCAAGATTCTCTTTTACTCATGAAGAAGACTATATAAGAAAATATTTTTCTATTTTTATTTTTTGTCCCGTTATCACGGTTGCTCCAATTGTCCTATCCATAAATGGTAGATGTCAAATGTTTTGTGTAATCAAAGAGAGTCGTATTGTACAAAAATAGCCACCAAAGCAATAAACAGTCTCGATCTGGATGAGATAGACTCAAAACTGTTTACATATAATTTTGTTTGTTCTAATTTTAAGGAATTATCGTTTATATTTATTTTTATATTCGAGAACTTTTTAACTTTGACATGAATTTAATGGTTTATCTAAGATTCAAATATGATAAAAATTAAGACATGGTTGTTAACGTAATCAGATTACATTAATAAAACTAATCAAGTTGGTCTCGAATAATAAACAACCTAATTTAAAAACATTATTGTTTATCAAAGCAAATTTATTAGCAAACATGTGAGCAATCTTATGATAGCACAATGGTTAAAAGAGAGAGACATAAAATGTCCCTAGTTGAGTCTTGCAACTTGCAAGATTGAATAAGTATTTTGTCTCGTAACTTATCTTAAATTGTATTTTCAACACCCCATCTCACATGAAATTTAAAATTATTTTTCTTCAAATATTTTACGTGTAAGAATTAATAAATTAAATGGTTGTGAAACTCGAACCCAAAAAAATTTGCTGCTCCGATACGATTTGAATAACCTAATGTTGAGACAGTAGAGAGAGGACAAATTTATTTATGTAAAGTGTAATTTCAACATCATGCCCTTTAGATCAATGGTGTGCACGTAACATCGTACATCAAGTCGCGAGTCAAAATCGTTTGCCGTAAATTTTCATTCATTTTACTAAGAGAGTGTTTGGGAGCAATTTTNTCTTATGATAGCACAATGGTTAAAAAAGAGAGACATAAAATGTCCCTAGTTGAGTCTTGCAACTTGCAAGATTGAATAAGTATTTTGTCTCGTAACTTATATTAAATTGTATTTTCAACACCCCATCTCACATGAAATTTAAAATTATTTTCCATCAAATATTTTACGTGTAAGAATTAATAAATTAAATGGTTGTGAAACTCAAACCCAAAAAAAATTTGCTGTTCCGATACGATTTGAATAACCTAATATTGAGACAGTAGAGAGAGGACAAATTTATTTATGTGAAGTGTAATTTCAACATCATGCCCTTTAGATTAATGGTGTGCATGTAACATCGTACATCAAGTCGCGAGTCAAAATCGTTTGCCGTAAATTTTCATTCATTTTACTAAATATATTATATACAATATACCTTGCGAGTTGGAATCTTATTTTACAAAAAATAATAAGATTAATAATATTTTACAAAAATATTAATAAGATTACCCAAAAAAAATGAATTTAATGAAGATCGTATGCATATGATCTCAATGGGATTTTTAATATCCTTTTTATGCATCATTAGCATAGGGAAAGTCAACTCTTTTCTAGCATTTATGACGAGATCTCTTCTTCAATTAACAGTATCCATAAGATCTTAGTTTGAAATTTTCTTCAACTGCTACCTTCTTAGAATTGGATGTGGCCCAAAATGATCCAAATCTTTTAGGAATATGGACAAGTTCATTTGCGAATCTCTTGTCATTATTCAATACTAAAAGTCCCAGAAATCAGAATATTAGAGATTATATCAGCTAAAAATTAAGATTAAAGAACATAAAAGAGAGAAGACGGAGGATTTGTTTCCCGAGGTTCGGAGATAAATCTCCTATGCTCTTATCACTTGAGTTAGGCCTTGATATCAATTACAGTAAGAGCTTCACTAGCCTCAAAATCACTCAAGAACACGGCTAACCAAATATCATTCAGAATTAAAAATATTCTATTAGAGATGGAATCTTGGCGTTTACAGAAGAGACTCACTTTCAAAAAAAAATTAAATTAAATAGAGAAGAAAATCATTGAAAAAGAGTAAACAAAGTGTATAATGGCATTTTTAAGACTCTTTAAATTTTAAGAGTGCCTAATGCATATTTTTTTAAAGAGATAGGCTACACGTACAGGGGCCTTTTTCACATGCCCCTGCTAGGCCACACACATACATGGGGCCCGCGTGCAGTTTTTTTATTACACGTGGGGCCCTCCGCTACAGTGAGAGCCATGTAAGTCCCATGTGAAGAATACCCCTGTACTTGGGGCTTTATTCTTTTTTAAATGTTAATTGTTAAAATATTCAAAAGCGATTATAATAATATAAGAAATGGAGAATTAAAACTTGTAATTTATTCGGACTTTGTTAGGGGTACATAAATTTTCACATAATGGTTCACATAATTACACGTGGCACATATCCAACCTTTAATTCAAATATTACACTTTCACATTAACCACCGGATGGTTGCCACATCACATTATGTACCCATCTATGTACATAAATTATGTACAACAAGAATTATCCAATTCATTTATTTAATGTAACTTTTGTAAACTACAAATGGAGAGTGAATTTGATTCTCCAAATCTAGAAGTTGAACTCTCTATTTTAGAAAAATTAAAGTGAAGAGTTGTTGGAGTTAATTTATTGTTTTGATTATTTAAAATAGAGATTATCTTACATTAAAGAATCTCTTAAAAATACTTTAAGGGTAGCCACCAATGGTTCAGCTTCAACGGCCTAGATGATTCCACATGACAACGTCCAATTTAATGCATATTGATTGTTACAAAACTGGTTCTTGCCAAATAACACTTTCTCTTCAAATGTTTGAAACGCCCCGTAAAATTATGATCGAAGGTAAAGAACAACTTAGAAGGTGATTGAATAAGTTTACTAATTTCTCGTTGGTCTTGATATTATGCCACTCCATGAATGGACCCGGACTTATACAAATCGAAAAAAAGTACATTGTTCCTATTTTCATGTCGCCTCCTAACTAAAATAACAAAATTTCCGACAATTTTTCCCTAGTTGAGTCTTGCAAGATTGAATAAGTATTTTGTCTTGTAACTTATCTTAAATTGTATTTTCAACACCCCATCTCACATGAAATTTAAAATTATTTTTCATCAAATATTTTACGTGTAAGAATTAATAAATTAAATGGTTCAGAAACTCGAACCCAAAAAAATCGTATTTTTCTCAAATTAATATATTTTACGTGTAACATCGTACATCAAGTCGCGAGTCAAAATCGTTTGCCGTAAATTTTCATTCATTTTACTAAATATATTATATACAATATACCTTGCGAGTTGGAATCTTATTTTACAAAAAATAATAAGATTAATAATATTTTACAAAAATATTAATAAGATTACAAATAAAAAAATGAATTTAATGAAGATCGTATGCATTTGATCTCAATGGGATTTTTAATATATGCATCATTAGCATTGGGAAAGCCGNTTACAAAAATATTAATAAGATTACCAAAAAAAAAATGAATTTAATGAAGATCGTATGCATATGATCTCAATGGGATTTTTAATATATGCATCATTAGCATAGGGAAAGCCGGAAAGTCAACTCTTTTCTAGCATTTATGACGAGATCTCTTCTTCATTTAACAGTATCCATAAGATCTTAGTTTGAAATTTTCTTCAACTGCTACCTTCTTAGAATTGGATGTGGCACAAAATGATCCAAATCTTTTAGGAATGAGTAATATTGTTCATCCCCATTGGAGATGAAAACACAGTTTAGGTGGAGCTAATGTGATATTAAATGATAGGTGAAATTAAATAAGTCATTCAATTTCACCTATTACAACCACCTATACTGTGTTTTCATCCCCACTGGGGATGAAAAACATTACTCTTTAGGAATATGGACAAGTTTATTTGCGAATCTCTTATCATAATCAATTCTAAAAGTCCCAGAAATCAGAATATTAGAGATTATATCAACTAAAAAATTGAGATTAAAGAACGTAAAAAAGAGAAGACGGAAGATTTGTTTCCCAAGGTTCGGAGATAAATCTCCTATGCTCTCATCGCTTGAGTCAAGCCTTGATCTCGATTACAGTACGAGCTTTACTAGCCTCAAAATCACTCAAGAACACGGCTAACCAAATATCACTCAGATTTAAAAATATTCGATTAGACATGGAATCTTTTGAAGATACTTTAAGGGTAGACACCAATGGTTCAACTTCAACGGCCTAGATGAGTCCACGTGGCAACATCCAATTTAATGCATATTAATTATTACAAAACCGTATCTTGACAAATGGCACTTTCTCTTCAAATGTTTGAAACGCCCCGTAAAATTATGATCTAAGATAAAGAATAGAAAAATGCTATGCATCCCCAGATGGAATGCATCTCCAGTTTATATGGATGTAAATGATTGGTTAAATAATATGTGAAATTAAATGACTTATTTAATTTCACCTATCATTTAATGCCACATTAACATCACAGAGACTGGGAATGCATCCCCAATGGGGATGAATAGCATTTCTCTAAAGAATAACTAACCTAGAAGTGATTGAATAAGTTTATTAATTTCTCGTTGGTCTTGATCTTATGCCACCCCATGAATGTACCCAGACTTCTACAGATCGAAAAAAGTACATCGTTCTTATTTTAATGTCACTGCGCTGTCTTCTCAATAGATTACTCCACGTTGTTTTTTCAAGTCTACAAAAAATTATTTGGGAAGACCATGAAGCCATGAACATTTTTAAGAACAAAGCTCAAGGTACTGGACATCTTTTTCTTACTTCGAAACATACGCTAACTTCAGTTGTTCAAGGCATGAAGAATTCTATTGAACCGCTTCTCTAATCCTACTTCCTATAAAAGAGCG